ATTTAATATATATACATATATATATATATATATATATATGTATATATATATATATGATTTTAGAAAAGTAATATTTTAATTTTGAAAAAATAAAATAATATTTTTATTTTTGAAAATACAAGACCGGACCGATCTCATATATGCAATAGTTTAAATAAATGAGTGTAACACTGCAAGTGACGTACCAATCACAGGAAATAGACACATTACTTGGTAGCGAGAATTGATTAAATAAACTATAAAATTTATGACATACGTTTTGGTCTGCGAAACTGTTTATGTTGACCAACAAGTTCTTCTATTTAATATAAAAGATTAAATATGGTTTATATTAAGCTAGGTTCTAAAGTTCCCTATAGAGGCAATCCCCTGTAGTTAATTACATCTTAAGTGACCGAAGTCGCTTAAGAATACTCTAGATTCAGATTAGTGATTTTGCCTTCAAGAATTTCAAATTTTTAGAGTTTCAAGGTTGGACATGGAAAACTAAAAGGAATGGATCAAGTAGGAACAGTTATTTTCAGGAATCCAAAAGAATGGAAGGTAGGAGTTGTCACTGATCCGAGGGGAACCTCTGTGACTTCTCAAGCTATCTTACTATTTGGCTTCAATTTTAAGAAAATGTTTTTTGTTGTTTCATCATGCCTGTTTTATTTTTTTGGGCTTACATTTACATGATCATAATCATAAAAAAACCTAGAAAGATAGGAGGGTTTACGTCATACCGAAAGATAACCTCAGAGCCTAAAATGAGTTAGGACTTATGTCACACAACATGATTGTGTATGAGCCTAAAGATAAAGTGAGGAATTTGTCATGTTAGACGAACTACCTTGAATTCCTATGACTTATTTTTTTAATTATAAGGAATGGTTTTGATTGTTTATCTGTTTACAATGATTAATTTTTGTTAAAAAAGGTTCTTGTAGTTCAATTGAACCCTTATCTATGATAAGTCCTGAGAATTTAATAGTGCTAGTTAAATACTTTCTTCTTACTTAATGCAATTCTATGTTTTTTAGCTTTTTGTGAAAACAAGGTTAAATGTTTTAAATGCTTGGTTATGATTTGACTAAAAATTAGGATATCATCTACATATATAAGGAAATAGTTTGATAATTCATTAAAAATAGTATACATTCATCATGAAATATTTGTAAGGTATTTTTTAACCTGCAGGACATAACATTCCGTTGGTAATATCCTTATGGAGTACTAAAGACAGTAAATTCTCTACTATTTGGGTGCATTATTATCTGTCAAAATATGGAGTTAAAATCTAATTTGGAGAACCATTTGAT